AAGGGAAAAAAGGGAAAAAAGGGAAAAAAGGGAAAAAAGGGAAAAAAGGGAAAAAAGGGAAAAAAGGGAAAAAAGGGAAAAAAGGGAAAAAAGGGGAGGGGAGGCACTCACTCATCATGCGGTGCTGCCGCAGGACCTTGATGAAGTCGAAGGTGTTGAAGCCCAGCAGCAGCACCAGCTGGTTCTCACACTCACGGTCATCTCCGGCCGTCTGCGGGGAAAACCGGGAATGACTGATCCATTCTGGCTGGAAAACTGGGAATGACTGATCCCCTCCAGGCCAGAAAACTGGGAATGACCAGTCCCCATGGACCCAGAAAACCGGGAATGACTGATCCCCTCTGGCCACTCGGAGCCAGAAAACCAGGAATGACCGATCCCTTCTGAGCCAGAAAACCGGGAATGACCAATGCCCACAGACCCAGAAAACCAGGAATGAGCGATCCATTCTAGCCAGAAAACCGGGAATGACTGATCCCATGGACCCAGAAAACTGGGAATGAGAAATCCCCATGGACCCAGAAAACTGGGAATGAGCGATCCCCTCTGAGCCAGAAAACCAGGAATGACTGATCCATTCTGGCCGGAAAACCGGGAATGACCAAACCCCTCGGACCCAGAAAACTGGGAATGAGCAATCCCCATGGACCCAGAAAACTGGGAATGACCGATCCCCTCTGGCCAGAAAATTGGGAATGACCGATCCCCTACGGCCCCTCAGAGCCAGAATTCCTGAGGTCTGTGGGATGGGAGCAGAAGGAGCTCAGGAACTGCAGCAAAGGAGGCACCACAAGATCCTGGAGAAAGGAAAATGATCCTGGAGAAGGGAAAACGATCCTGGGAAAGGAAAAACGATCCTGGGAAAGGAAAAACGATCCTGGGAAAGGAAAATGATCCCGGTGAAAAGAAAAAGATCCTGGAGAAAGGAAAATAATCCTGGATCCTCCTGAATTCCCGTTTTTCCCCAGCGGGATGCTCAGCCCCCACAGCTGCTGCTCCCCCAGGAACTTCCCCCAGACACCCGGGAATTCCTCCAGCCGGGGTGAAAAGCATAAAATTCCTGCTTTTCCGACGGAAAAACATTCCCAATCCTGAGGATCTGGGGGCACCGACCTTGAGGATCTCCAGCACCTCGTCCGCCTTCTTCTGGGACACGATGGCGTCGTCGTAGAAGCGGCTGAGCTGGCGCTGCAGCCAGAARGCGTCGATGTCCCGAGGGTGCAGCTCCTTCTTCTTGGAGCTCATCAGCTCCCCCGAGGCCACCAGCTTGGGGGGAATCCCAAAAAAAACCCATTATCCTCGGGGTTTGGGGGTGGGGGTTTGGGGATTCACCCAAATTTGGGGGTTGGACACAACCCCCAGGGTTCTCTCCATCATAAATGATATCAACTTCACCCAAAATCCTACAGAATTCCCAAATTTCCTCTGGAAATCCCAAAAAAACCCATTATTCCAAAGGTTTGGAGGACAGGAGTTTGGGGTGGGACAAGAACATTTAGGGATTCACCCCAATTTGGGTGTTGGACACAACCTCAAAAGTTCTCTCCACCCCAAAACAACATCAACTCCGCTAAAACCCCACAGAATTCCTGAATTTCCCTGGAAAACCCCAACAAAATCCATTATTCCCTGAGTTTGGGGTAGAACAGGAACATTTAGGGATTAACCCCCATTTTGATGTCAGACGCAACCCCAAGGGTTCTCTCTACCCCAAAACGACCCCACAAACCAAAACGACCCAGCCCCACCCAAACCCCGCTGAATTCCTGAATTCCCTTGGAAAAACCCAACAAAAACCATTATTTCC